GAAGCTGGTTTTTCTCCTTGCACCATGTGGGCCCTTGTAGGTGGAGTTTTTCTATGTTCCACTAACAGCTCTGTTCCAGCCACTTCCCAAATAACCACTTAGAGACTTATTTATTATTAATTTTACATGCTCAGCTGATAGCTCAGGCTTATTACTAACTTTTACAACTTAAATTAACCCATTTCTATTAATCTATGTGCTGCCCCAAGGCTCATGGCTTTTACCTCTCCTGCAGGTCCTGCTTCCTTTTCGTCTGGCTGGTGACTGCTCTGACTCTGCCTTTCTTCCCAATGTCCTTAGTCTGGTTCTCCCTCCTAACCTTATCGTGTCTGGCTATAGGCCCATCAGCTTCTTTATTAAACCAGTCACAGGGACATATATTCACACAGTGTAAAGGAATATTCCACAGGGCCCCAACTGACACCTCCCCCCAAAAAAAGAATAAAAATTGTTTATCTCTTCATTATGTTGTAATCAGAGCTTATAGTACTATTTAGAAAGAATGTCATCTACAATGTATGCTGCTTTCATTTAAGAGTTTACCAGTATCAGGCTTTCCTGCATCTGAAACCATTGTATAATACCAGCAAGGTCACATTCTCATTCAGAGAGAGAAAGCAAAGCCAGTCTCCTGGAGCTATAGGAGAACATCTGTCCCCATCATTCTAGTAATCCATGAGATATGTTCTTGCAGATCATGACTAGATAGTTTAATTTTCTTCTGCATGTGTAGCACTTTCAGTGAATTTTGTCTTGGGACATCAGCAAGTTCCTTGTACTGTGCATATAAATGATCTACCTTTAAGTAAGATCAAGTGAAGATAATTGTCATTTAAAGGGGAGAGCTGAGTTCTAGAGATAAGTAACTATGAATGTGGTCATAGTAATTGCAGGCATAGAAGAAGTCTTTTATTTTCTATTTATTTATTCAAATCATTTATTTTTATCACTATGGACATATGCATATATATTTTATAGTTTAGCTTATAATCCAGTACTGCTGTTCATTCTGTGGCTTAAATTATCCCATCTTGGGATGCTCTTTGTCTTATGTGTGTGTGGTTCTGGCACTGAAACTCAGGGCTTTGTATATGCCAGGCAAGTATTCTACCACTGAGCTTTGTCCCTAGCCCTGTCACTTTCTTATTTGTTTGTTTGTTTAACGTGTATGGGCGATTGGCCTGTGTGTATGTCTGTGTACCATGTGAGTACCTCTGCCCATCAAGGCCAGAAGAGGGAACTGGATCTTCTGGAATTGGAGTTACAGACCGCTGTGAGCCACCGTATGGATGCTGGGGATTGAACACAAATCCTCTGGAATGGCAACCAGTGCTTTTAACTCTAAGATATCTAAACCAGCCCCTTAGCCTTTGCTTTAAAAAATGAATTTTTATCTATTCTTTTTATATTAATAGTAAAATTGAGCCAAATGTGTTGGTTTATGTATATAATCCTAGTACTTAGAGAAAGAAACAGGTTCAATACAAGTTTGAGACCAGCTAGAGCTACCAAATGAATTCCAGATAGCCTAGAAGTAAGAAATTGAGGCTCTGTTCTCTACTACAAATGTATTTCCATTAGAATTTTTAAAAATTACCAAACAAAAATATGCTAGTTCTAAAATCCTTTTGTTCCTTGTGATGAGACTGTGATACTCAGAATTCTGCTTGTAGCTTCCCGTCAGTTCAGATGTGTGTATGTGCTAAATGTTTATGTCTTCGTTTTCCACTGCTAAGTCATATTGAATAGGCTTTTCACGTATTTAAAAATACTGATACATATTTCACTTAACAAACACTCCCCGAGCTCCTTCCATGTACAGGCTTTGGATTTATAATAAATTAAATGCCCTCATAGACTTTATTTACACTTTAGTTGGCAGAGACAGACCACAGACCGTGAATAAATTTGTTATGGCTACTCAAGGTATCTCTGAAAATCAGAGAAAGTAGCTAAGCAGGAAGCAGAAGCTCTGACCTAGTCTGGGCAGAGGAAAAGAGATTATTTCCTTGAGGGGGGAACATCTTGAGAAGAGATCTGGAGGAATTTATCAGATAAAACTTTGAGGCAGGAGAAACAGCACGTACAGAGGGCCTGCGATAGGAAGAATACGTTTATGAAGAACTGTGAAGAGGCTGGTAAAGTGATGACGAGGTGGTTCACTAAGTGAAGGATTCACTGCCAAGGTTGATGACCTGAGTTTGATAGCTTGAGTTTAATCCCCCATGACCCACATAGTGGAAGGAGAGAGCCAGTTCCTTCAACACGTGTTCTGTGGCACATGTGTACCTATACACATGCATGTACACACCCCACACACACACCTGCATGCGCGCACATACACACCCACCAAAAAAACCCAAAAGTAGTAACACCTTTTCCCCGTTTAAAGGTAGTGAAATTGGATCAGCAAAAGATAGGGGCAGTAGTTGGGTAAGAACTAAGCACACATTCTTTACCTGATTTATACTCCCAGGAAGGCTGGTACTTCATTATTTATTCATTAAGTCATCCGTTTATGTATGTATTTTTGTGGTGTTGGGTATTCAATCCAGAGTCTCCCACATGCTAAGCAAGTGCTCTCCCACTGAGTTTTTTTTTTTTTTTTTGGTTTTTTGAGACAGGGTTTCTCTGTGTAGCTTTGCGCCTTTCCTGGAACTCACTTGGTAGCCCAGGCTGGCCTCGAACTCACAGAGATCCGCCTGGCTCTGCCTCCCGAGTGCTGGGATTAAAGGCGTGAGCCACCACCGCCCGGCTCCCACTGAGTTTTATGCCAAGTGCTTATTTTGGATATTTTAAATTTCCAGTCATGAGAATGTATTTAAAATTAGTAATGCTGGTTAATTACATGCTACTTTGATAAACTTTAATTTTGTAGCTTCTTTTACTAGCACTATTAGAAAGCCTACAATCCTGTTTGAAGTGATATTGCTTGCTTTTTCCTGTATTTTGGCTAGTATATCATCTTGGGTTTTATGCTGGAACCTCTAAATTGTGATTGGAATGTAAAAGGGCTTGCATGTTGAGACCATCTGTGGGAGCTAAATTGTCTGAAAGTTGACAAGAGATCATGCCAGATGGTGAGGTCGAAAGATTGACTTTTTGAGCTTGACATAATGTGTTCATGAAGCTGGAAGAAGTCCGCCTTAGGTTTCTAACTAACAGAAGACCTTGGAAACAGAAGGAGTGATCAGTTACTGAGTTTGGATAAACATCATGCATCAGCACACATGGCTGGTTTAGATCTGAGACTCAGCAGCATTGTCAAAGATAGCAACTTCTGAAAACATTTGGTGTCCCTTTGTCTTCTTGACATTTTGGAAAGTTTAAAGTCACATATTGAAAATTTGCAGGTAATTTTTACATTAGTTAATACAAAAGAAAACCAAAATATTTTTAAAATGTTTAGGATACTTAACCTTTTTAATTGTAATTGGAAACATTTTTTTTCTTTTTTCTTATTGAAAATTTGGATTTATGTTGGTATTTTTCATTTCTCCTTTAGGTAGTTTATTCATTGCTTATTTTGGAAGAAGAAACCTTAACTTTTTGTGGGAAATCAAAACTGACCCTCCCCCCACATTGTTTATCCTGTTAGGCAGTGTCTTAGTGATTTTATATGTATCATCTTATTTAATGTATGTGTGTGTATATATATACACATCTTTAATGCTTGGCAGGAAACAGAAATTGAGGCACAGAAATAGTATGGTAAATTTGTTCAATAAACATTTAGGCACTTTTGGCTCTATGTTAAACATTTATCATTTAGACAACATTTAGAGATTCTAGTCTGTGCTGAGCTCTGGTAAGAAGATTCAAAGAGAATACTGAACACAATTATCCATGGCTCTGTCAGTTCCATTGATGTGGCTAAACAATATTTTTATTGGTAGTCTCTTACTGTAGTGTTCTGAAATAGATTACTAATTTTCTAACTGTTCTTCTCTCCCTGTGGTCCTGGGGTCTAATCTAGACTCTCGATGAGCACTCCAGTTACTGAGCTACATCTCCAGCCTTTTGTTAGTTTCTCTTTATTTGCTTGAACAGCACAGTGCCATTCAGTAGCCTGAATTTTAGGAAATAGGATACAGTATTGAAGACTGAGTACTAAAATGAAGCAGATGCATAGAGAAAAGCAGCTGTAGCCATTACAACCGTGCTCTGGGCTCAGTGAGGTAGAGAAAAGGGATCCCTTGTAGCCAAATCTGCTAGCTCACTTCATTAGTATTTGCTTGGGTCTTGTTGGCCAGCACTAAGTCATATGTTATGTGGTCAGACCATCTGTGAGGGAGGAGAGGGGAACATTTTAGTGAACGCATTGCCACCTTCAACTTCTTAGGGAAGAGAAAAATAACAGGGAATAATATCTGCCTTTTATCTATACATAGAAAGCTCATAAATCTTAATAGAGTCCAAATCATATTTTCTCTGGAAAAGATTTCATTATTTTCTGTCAGAATTGTATTTTAGTAGGTCGTAAGTAATCTAATTTTTTTATTTTCTTTTTTTTAATGAGTAATACACTTTATTTTATTATTTTATGTGCATTGGTGTTTTGCCTTCATGTATGTCTGTGTGAGGCTGTCAGATCTTGCAGTTACAGACAGTTGTGAGCTGCCATGTGGGTGCTGCAAATTGAACCCGGGTCCTCTGGAAGATCAGTCAGTGCTCCTAACTGCTAAGCCATCTCTCCAGCCCCCCCTTTAATGTTATTATTGTGTATATTTATGATGTTATTTATGTCTTAAATATTTTAAAGTATTTTTTATTCTTTGAGTATTTCATATGTGTTTACAACTTTTAGCATTCAAGTGCCTTTTTCTATTTTATAAATTTCTCTTCTATCTCACTGAGCCTAGGTCATGGGTGTCAGAAAATTGTAGAAATACTTTTATTTATTATGAGTGTATATGATGTGTATGGATGCACATGCCACAGCATACATGTGAAGGTCAGAGTTAGTCAGTTCTCTCCTTCTACTTTTACTTTCGTTCCAGGGTCAACAAACACCTTTACCCTCTCAGCCATCTCTCTGGCCCAGGGTTTCATGTAGCTCACACTGCTCTGGAACTTGTTGTCATCTAAGGTTGGCCTTTAATTATTGCTCTTCCTACCTCTACATTCTTAGGTGTGTCTTTTTTTTCCTTCCGAGTGCCTTTCCTTTAACTCTAGTGCTTTAAAGTCAATATTAAAATTTTAATAACCTCTACTTCTGTTTTAAGATAATTTAATGTTTATTTATTTATTTTTGAGGCAGAATTTCACTGTATAGCTTAGGCTAGCTTGGACCACTGTGTTACTATGTAGCCTAAGCTAGCCTCACACTTGTAATTTCTCTTACCTTAGCTCCTAAATAATGATACTAGGCCGGGTGGTGGTGGCGCACGCCTTTAATCCCAGTACTCAGGAGGCAGAGGCAGGCGGATCTCCATGAGTTCGAGGTCAGCCTGGGCTACAGAGTGAGTTCCAGGACAGGCTCCAAAGCTACACAGAGAAACCCTGTCTCAAAAAACCAAAAAAAAAAGATACTATAGGTGTGAGCTACTCTGACTAGCAGAGTAATTTTAGTAGAAAAATAATGTGAGACCCTCTCTCCAAAGATCAAATAGACACACAAATGAGAAAAGCCACAGAAGTACGGCAAAGAACTCCTGAATGCCCTTGCCCAGAAAACATTTGTATATGTTTTATTTTCATTTCTTCTATGTATTTTTCATTGGAAATTTAGTTCTTGTTATGCCCCTTGCTTCCTGGAGTTCTTTAGTGTTTTTGTTTTTCTAAGTTAAAGGATATTTCACTTATAGAATGACCCTAATATCCAGAAACAACAGTGAAGTCTGAGCCTGGTTGCTTATACCTGTAATTCTAGCATTTAGAAGGCCGAATCAAGAGGATAACCATGAATTTCAGGCCACTTGATCTACATACTAAGTTCTAGGCTAGCCAGGGCTCTGAAGCAAGGTTCTGCTAAGAAAAAAAGAAAAGAAAAGGAAGAAGAAATAGCGAAATAGCACACACAGACAGACAGACAGACAGACAGACACACACACACACACACACACACACACACACACACACACACACACACACGCATACACGCATACACATACACGCATGCTCCCCATTATCTGGAATGTGGCCTTTTCCCCCGTTACCCTAATATTAGTCTTCTTAGGAATCATGTTTTTCTGATCCAGTGTTTATTTTAAAATCACACACTGAATTGAGTTTTCCTTTTTTTTTTTAGTTTTTAGTTTTTCTAAATATGGATTTTTTTTTTTTTTTTTTAGCTTCCTTTGCTTTTTTTGACACTAATGATTTTGAGGAGTTAAGGAATTTAGGCCATTATTTTGAAGAACATCTTTCACTTTGTATTTCTCTGATTTTTTTTTTTTGTTTTCTGGTTAGGTTTTGCATGTTGGATGACAGTAATATCTCAAATGATATTATACACATCTCAGTGCACTTAGGACACATGAGGACTTACCTAATTATTGGTGGCCATTTGGTAACTTTGATTATCAAAGTAGTGTATGCAAGTTTTCTTTACTGGAAAATTTGAATTAAGGTATTTTATAAGGAGATATTTCAATATTATGTTAATATCTTGTTGCACATTTCTAATAACTAGTGTTACCCTTTGTTGATGATTCTTCCTGTACTAGTTTATTGTGATGTTATATGGTGGTGATTTCAGCAACTGTAGAATTTATTATATTATTAGTTGGCATTCTACTGAGGCTTTACATCTTCCTCTATCATTTCTAATTGTTTTCATGACTGGGTTTATAACTTTACTATCATTAAGATATTTTGGTGTCCAGTTGCTTCAGTGTGCAGTTGTAGGCTCTTTAAGTTGGCCCTTGTGTATTTTTGATATGTGTCTGTCAGTGTTTGAACGTTTTGTCCTTTGGAACAGTAAAATATGCGAGGTTTATCTGGTCCCTTTCCTGCCTTACCTTGGAATCAGCCCTTTCTCTATGAAGCCCTCATGTTTCTTTCAGTGCGTTACCTAAAGCAACATAGTATAACTCTGCTGTATCCCTTGAGAGCAGAGCAGACTGGTCAAGTTACTTAACTGCTTTAAACCCCAGTTGTTATCAGGAATGGAAGTAAAAATGATACATGTTTTCCTAGTGCTGTCCTAAGGATTCATTTAGACAATTCACTTAGAAGTATACATGTCTCAGTAAATGTGACATAAATATTGCCTATTATTACATCACTATTCCCTCTTTTTCCCTTTAACAGGATATTTTAAAGGATTGTTGAAGACGCAATTTTTTATTTTTGTATGTTTTTTAATGGCTATGCAGAATATTAAATAGAATAAAGTTTGACATGACGGCAAAAAGTGTAAGTATTTGTAATTTTTTAAAAGTAATTTTAATGTGAGCCTATACTGTTTTGCTATACATAGTTTCTCACTATTCTGGTTAATAAAATTCAAAATGTTGCCTTGGTTTATAATTGTTTTTGATTGTGTAGTGTGTGAGATAAACTTAATACTATTGAATATAGTACTTTCATAGCTATTAGAGGATTCTTGCAGATTGGTGCCAAGCTTTTCTTTTTCAACAGCTGCAAATTGCTATCTCTAGAAAGTTTCCAACTTGGCTTCTCTTTTGGGTGCTGTTACAAATTTGTTTTGGTTGCTAGAGAGTTACTTGGCCTTATTGAGCACATCTCTGCTTTCTTTGGCTTATTTTTTTCTTTTGTGTTTGCTCAGGGAAATGTGTATGCTCTGACGTTATTTGGAAGCAGATTGCTGCATTTCCTGAGGTATTCCCTGAAGACCATCTAAACTTTTAGAAGTGTTGGGAAAGTTATCTAATTTCCTCCCTCTGTTTAAATGATCGTTTCTTTATATCTTTATTGTAAAGGTGCAGGGCTGTCTTAGGTTCACAAGTAGGAATTTAGTAAGCCCTCAGTGCAGCAAAGAGCAGGCCTTCTGTGCTGTACTTTATGAAGTCTTCAGTGCTGTCCACGTGAGACTGAGGTAGGTGTTGGTGAGGTGAGGTTAGCTTGTGGTTTTTCCTGTTTCCCTGATCTCCCAGGTTATCACCCCTATATCTGGCTCTGTGGTTTTTTTTTTTTTGTTGTTGTTTTTTGTTTGGTTTTTCGAGACAGGGTTTCTCTGTGTAGCTTTGCGCCTTTCCTGGAACTCACTTTGTAGACCAGGCTGGCCTCGAACTCACAGAGATCCTCCTGCCTCTGCCTCCCGAGTGCTGGGATTAAAGGCATGTGCCACCACTGCCCGGCGGCTCTGTGTTTTTTTGTTTGTTTGTTTGTTTTTTCCTTTGAACATAAAAACAGGTTGTAATTTAAACAGTAAAATATTTTCTCTGTAGAAAATAGTATAAATGATAACATTTACTAATAAGCCCTTTTAAGCCAATGATAGCTGAATTATACATATAAATATTGATTAGATTCTGGTATACAGAGTAAACCTATTTTCATCTGTTCAGAGAGCTATGTTTTACTAAAGTTGTGTAAGTGAGCTACCTATGCATCTTCCCCTACACTGTTTGATTTACAGCAGACATTTTTCTATAGGCTAATCCATATTCTAAAAGCATTTTAGCCTCCCCTCCTGAAAGTACAGCCAGCCTTTTCCTTCATCAGCTTGATATAGTACAAATTCTTATCCTAATAGTGGAAGGTTTCACTAAAGCTTGTCCAGTGATTGGGTAAAACCAAAACTTATTATAAGCCACAGTCATCCTAGGGTCTCCCCTGCTAGGTAGCCTCCCTGGATCTGTGGGTTGCAGTCTGATTGTCCTTTGCTTTATATCTAGTATCCACTTATAAGTGAGTACATACCATGTTTGTCCTTCTGAGTCTGGGTTACCTCACTCAGGATGATATTTTCTAGTTCCATCCATTTACCTGCAAATTTCAATATGTCATTGTTTTTCTGCTGAGTAGTACTCCATTGTGTATATGTACCACATTTTTTTAATCCATTCTTCAGTTGACGTGCATCTAGGTTGTTTCCATGTTCTGGCTATTACGAATAATGCTGCTATGAACATAGCTGAGCATGTATCTTTGTGGTATGATTGAGCATTCCTTGGGTATATGCCCAAGAGTGGTATGGCTGGGTCTTGAGGTAGATCGATTCCCAATTTTCTGAGAAACCACCATACTGATTTCCACAGTGGTTGTACAAGTTTGCAGTCCCACCAACAGTGGAGGAGTGTTCCCCTTGCTCCACATCCTCTCCAACATAAGCTGTTATCAGTGTTTTTGATCATAGCCATTCTGACAGGTGTAAGGTGGTATCTCAGAGTCATTTTGATTTGCATTTCTCTGATGACTAGAGATGTTGTGGCTCCGTGTTTTTTATTTAATAAGACTGTTTAGCAATTTGTCTGCACCTCAGAAAGATGTGGGCCCAAAACTTGGAGTCTGTCGGGAATTGGAACAGTTATTTGTTTTCATAGCTCATCCCTTTCTGATGTTATCCATCTGTTTCATTTCTTCCTCCTCTCACCTGAAAATCACCTTAGGTCATAGCCAGCCTTTCACTGTCTCTTCCGTGCATATTCTGAGGGAGATATACAGGAGGGAAAGAAGCAGGCTGACAGATCCTTTCCTTCCTGTCACTTCTAATTGCAGACTCAAGGAAAGCATTTCTCTTCTGAGAGCAGAGAACACTTGTGTGTGTGTGTGTGTGTGTACGCACGCACAAATACACAGTTACCTTTGCCTTTTAGATCATACTTATGATCAGGAAAAACCAAAATCCTACTCAAAACTGTTAAGGAGCTAGTTATGGAAGTGTATGGCTGTACTCCTGTTCATTCAGGAGCCTGAGGCAGGAGGATGGTGAGTTTGAGGCTACGCTAGCTAATGTAGCAAGATCTTGTCTGAAAATCAAAACAAAACAACAAAAACCCAACCAGTCATCACAGCAAAACTCAATTTAAGCCAAAGAGTAAATATATTGCTTCATTTAACTGAAAAGTTTAGAGTTCTCAGACTTTCACTACCTCTAGTTTAGAGGTTTGAAGGGTGGCATCATGTACTGTGTCCCCCGACCCCACCTTTTGGCTGTATAGGTGGTAGCATAATGGCTTACTTGGGTCCTGTAGTGTTTCAGTTTATAAGAAGATACAAGGGCCAGGTGGTGGTGGCGGCGGCGGCCACCGCACGCCTTTAATCCCAGCACTCAGGAGGCAGAGGCAGGAGGATTTTTGTGAATTTGAGGCCAGCCTGGTCTACAGAGCGAGAACCAGGAAAGGTGCAAAGCCACACAGAGAAACCCTGTCTTGAAAAACCAAAAAAAAAAAAAAAAATCCACAGAAGCAGTTTGATTACCTTGCTTGGTTCACAGATCTAGATCTTTCCATCTGTGTGGAAGTAAATAGGATGCTGAAGGTGTGAGGCCTTTGCCAGGAGCCTGTCATTAATGTCTCTTGTCTGAATAACACAGGATATGGCATGGATCCTTTTGTGAAGAGGATGAGATGTAGTGACATATATTCTCTGTATCTCATTTAATAGTACTTACTATCCAATGAGTCTTCTAGACCAAAAATTCAGGTATATTTTAAGTTCATCTAGTATACAGCATAGATTTTTTTTTTCTTTTTGAGACAGTGTCTTGCTCTCTAGCCAGGCTAGCCTCTCAAACTCACAGTTTTTCTTCAGCAGTGTCCTAAGTTCTTGAATTGCAGACATGCAACACCCAGCGCCATGCCTGTCTTACAAAAGAAGATTTGACAAATAAGCCAAGGTGTACTATATTTTGCCTTCTCAACGAAACTTTTTTACATATGCTGTATTTTTTTTTAACAGAAAATAGTGAATACTCTTTTTTTACCTTGATACTTCTGCAACATTTTAAAAGGCTATTTTATGTTACTCATGGTATGGACAATACACCAGTTTTCTGATAGTAGTCATTTCCCCCCATTTTTAAATGTTTCTATTTTTCCCTTTACAGTTTTTTAAACTTTTATTTATTTGTGTATAGGTGTATCTGTATTGTGTGTAGGTGTGCACATAGCCACAGGGTGCTTGTGCAAGTCAGAAGACAACTTTCAGGAATTGAGTCTCCTTCCACGGTGGATGCCAGAATTGAACTCAGGTCACCAGGCTTGTGTGAAGCATATTTACTGATCAAATGATCTCTCTGGCCATATTTGTAATTTGAAACAAGGTCTTATGTAGCCCAGGTTTGCATTGGATGTTTCTCCTGCCCCTCAAATGCTAAGATTACTTTCAGGCATCACTAGAGCATTTTCAAGAATTTTGTTTTGAGATAGGATCTCACTATGTAGCTTAGACTGGCTTTGAATTCACTATGCAATCCAAGCCTCCTACTCATGGCGGTCGTCCAGCTTCACTCTTCCAACTGGTGGGACTACAGGTATGAGCCACCTTCCTTAGCCTTTGTTTTTTAAGACAGGATATTGCTGTGTCCTCGGTCTTGATCTATCTAGCCTGTCTTAGAACTCATTTTTCTGCTTCTTACTTCTTAGGAATACTTGACTTTGAACATTTTTGTACTCTTTTGCTCGTTTGTTAGATTATTTCCATCAGACAAAAGGCTTAGAAAATTTCTGAGTCATATTATTGAGTATTTATGATTTTTTTCCCAGAGATTATCTTTTCCTCCCTTTTTTTAGTAGTAGTAGATATTGAATGTTGGACCTCATGCATGTGAGGCAAGTACTTTACTACTGAGTTATAGCTTCTGCTCTAAGAGCTCTAGAATCATACTGCTACATGGTGTTTTCTAAAGGCTGGTTATTTATTTACTTACCAGTAATGTATGAGAGTGACATTTCTCTTATGTGTATGCTTACACACACATTTGCAAGGGGCAACGAACCCAACAGTAGCAAGAGTACTGTCTACAGGTTTTCTTTCTTTCTGTCTACAGGTTTTCTTTCTTTCCCTCTCTTTATTTATTTATTTATTTATTCATTTATTTATTTATTTATTTTGCCTGTTCTGGATCTCGCTCTGTAGCCCAGGCTGGCCTCAAACTCAAAGAGATCCGCCTGGCTCTGCCTTCCGAGTGCTGGGATTAAAGGCGTGCACCACCACCGGCGCCCGACTTTTATTTTTTATTCTTAGCCACTCTAACCAGCAAAAAGTTGTATGTGATTTCTTCTGATTACTAGTAAGGCTAAACTAATATTCAATGTGTTTATTGGTTATCTACATTTCTGTTTGGAAATTGTACATGTTGATGTTGTGAAAGCTATTGGCATCTAAATAATAACTAAAACTTAAGTATTACTTCACTATAAACACGCACAATTATTTGATGTAAGGTATTCAAGTCTGTTGTTTACATATGTACATTGTATAATGATGATTCCAAAATTGTCTTGCCT